CAATGTGCAAATATTAACTTTTTAAGGGACAAAGGCAGCCAAAGTTATAATCTAGCAGCACATTTTTTCAGAAGGAATATATTCTCTGTTGATAAAGACATCCTTCAGTTTGTATCACATCCATAAAGTGTCTATACAGATGTCTTGTTCATAAAGATTCAGGATGCATTTTGGGATTTACTATGAAGAAGCCTTCAATACAAGCAAAATACAGCCTTCTATTGACAGGATAACCATTGAGCTAAACTGTCCCCTCTGCCACAAATGCCAGCAGTAGGATCATTTTGTGTGTCTCACTAAATCAAAATCACCTAACACAAAATGTGGAGTTAGAAAGGAAAAGAAAAGAGAAAGAAGAGATTTGGAAAATTAGTTCTAGATCCATATTCAGAGAGGAACAGAAATAAATTACCTTTGATAAATGCACTTTAATAAATACTTGACATCCAGAAAATTGCAGGGTCTGTGATTTTATCACACCTAGGCCTCCTGTGAAATCTTGAAAGGAGAAAGTTTTGTAATGCTTTTTACTTTTTAATTGAAAAAAGTCCTTGAAGGTGTCAGTTTTCCATATGCATTATGTCTATGGCTAGAAATATTTTCAGTGGCACAAAATGAGGACTGACGCTCATCAGCTGCCCTCAATTCTACAAGAAAGGAAGTATCCAAAAATTACATAATTTTTAAATTCTTTTTCTTGTTTCAAAGAAATTGAATATGGTCAAGCACAGTTTCACAGGCAGAAGGTTCCTGTAAACAACTGTGAGCTCTTACCACCTCAATATTTCTCTACAGTCATACACCAAAAGTAAAAGCCAGAAAGCTTCCTGGTTTTTCCTGGAGAATCAGCTTACATCTGTCCCTCAATATGAAGAGCTAAACAAGAAATACATATTAGAATTTGCATTATTCTTTAAAGAGACAGGAAGATGAAATAACATCGTTTCTGTCTTATTTAAAAATAAAGCTGAAGAAAGAAAAACCCAAAAATATATCCACAATTACAACATCACTGGATGCGTGTGGCAAACAAAAAAATGGATGTCCATATTATGATGGCATTTCAACTTCACTTGGTGGGAATCACATGCTGTATCCTGTAGCAACACAAAGTGTGAAGCTCATCATATTCAGTTTAGTAATCTTTATGCATTGAACGGGTCATAGCATAACAAGTCATATAGCCATAGTATAACAGGTCATGTAGCATAACAATATGTATATACGAGTATATAGAATAACTATTGTACCACTGATAACCTACATTCTGATCCTAAGATTAATTAAGCTCTTATTTATATTTTATTCAATGCAAGTACATCTCCTTTCTTGATCAATTTTGGTAACACTCTATTCAAATGAAAATTTTGATTATTTCAGTTAAGATGCAGAGAATCCCATAACCATGAGCTTTAGAATAATTAGGGTAAAATAGAAACATAAAAAACAAAAGGTAGGGTAAAAAAGCTTCTAAATAAAAGCTTCTAAAAAAAAGCTTCAAACACCTCAGTGTGACGTTACTTCAGAAGGGTCACTCCTGATCAAGACCTGTTCATTGAAAACTGAGAAAAATTACTAACAGTAACGCTGGAGGCACCAGTCAAACAGAGCCTGCATATTTGTTCTTCAATTAGAAATTTTCAGAGCATTCCCCAAGATTATCTGGACTTTATTCATGTTTTCCCAGGTTTAGAGTATACAGACATTGCTTCTGACCTAAACCCAATCTTTTTGAAGGTGGATATGGCACCTTTTTAACCAGCATGCTGCAGCAATCCTTTATAGACAATTACAATCAGAAGGAGGTAGTGAACTAATGCAAATCACAGATCATCTGGGGAGTTAGAGCAGGAACTTCGTCTCTCAAGCACCCTGGTTCTCTTCTCACAAGGAAAGAGCTGTGCAGGTCCTGTGAGTGAGCAGCTCCACTGCAAAGCTTCCAGGGTCTGGATGGACAGGACTTTAATCCTTAGTGACTTGTGATCTGGCACCAGCACAGGCTAACAGCACTTGTGGCTGTACCAACCCGAAAACTATCAGTTTTCTAATGAAATTATTAAGTTTCCTTAATTAGGGAACTTCATACTGTCTCTTAATTCATTGTTGGGCAACCTCCTAAGGCTCCTTCCAACCTGAATGATTTACATTAGCCTCACCAGATTGTCAGGATGGTAATTAAAGAGATCACTTCTACCAGTGCAGCATCTCTCAAAATAAAATGCATCTGCTTCTGCAAACCTTTGTTCCAGAAAGTTTTACATCCAAGATTTAGCCTTACTTGGCCCTAGCTTGCTTTGAGATCAGACAAGGTATCATCATTAGGTATCATTTCTGAAGAAGAGCACCTATCACACTAGCCAAGTCAATCTGTCTTAACAAAATCCATGCCAGCATATTTGAAAGATTACATGTATGAATCATTCCTTTAAAGCAATTACTGTGATGTTTTTATTGGAAAACTCTTGCATTCTTTAGATTCTCAGTGCTGTTCCTTGCAACAAAACCTACAAGCACAGAATGTTGTTTCTTTTGTTTCACATCACCAAAATGAGTACAATCAACTGAGTAAGATTTCAAGACTGTTATCAAGAGTCAAGCCAGACTGCCTTGTGAAAGGGAACTACCACCATATTTATCATAATTCTGAAGGAAGGGGGGGAAAAAGGAAAAGGAAAAAAAAGAAAATAAAAGAAAAAAATGAAATTAAAAATAAAAGGGAGTTACCACCCCTGCAGTAATGCTTTTCCTAAAACCTAGAGCTGAACTGGGGAGAAAGTTACTCACTATATTACTATACTAGACCATTGATTTATATTGTCAAAACACAAACACTCAGCTAAAACATTCTACTCAACCACCATTCACCACCAACTCAAGCATACGTGATGCAGCTGTGTCTGTGCCAGGGCTGCTGCAGGAGCAGCAACATCCCTGTTCCTGGCAGGATGAGGAGGGAGCAGAACAAGGAGGAAAAATGGCATTCAAATATTCAATAGCAGTCAAAAAATTTGTTAAGTGAGATTAGTACATTCCAGCTAATAGATGAAAATTACTTCATACTTCAGGCATCTCAGAATGTTTAAAGGCTTACAATAGGTAAGTATTACTTTAAGAAAGCACCACATGGGATCACTTATTATGAAATCAGACTTCAAATTAAACACATGGAAAAGAGAAATGCTTTGGTAATTTACTCTACGCCTACCTCTAAAACTCCCTGTTTCATCTTCCGCGCTGCCTGCTCGGTTCTGTGTCAAATTGTCTCCTAATGTGCTCCTAAGTCCTGCCTGTCTCTTGTTACTGCACAGGCGTGTGCCAGGCAGCAAGCCAGCCAGAGGCATGTGTCCTGCTGGCTAACTGATCCCAGCTGATTCCCTGCCTCCTGGAGTTAGTGTGATCCACCGGGGCAGCTGAACCACCCCTCACCTCCACACCTTAATCCTGAGCACACCTGCGTTATGCCAGTCGCAGTGCTGGCCTTCAAGCTGGGGCAACTTCACCCAGAATAAAGACTGCTTCAATAGTTAGGCTAATTGACTCCAGCCTCAGATTTTCCATACAAACTTCCCTGTTTCCTTTAAAGTTGGTGAAACTCTTCTTTGTGAGAAGGAACAATAAAATGAAACTACTTACGGGGTTGGCCTATTTGCATAAATTCAAAATGAAGTGAACACAGGAGTTTAAAAATACTTTCTTTAATCATTTCACATCCATATGTGGCATCCTAAGATCAGCATGAGTCGACAAGGAATAATTCTTTGAAAAGCACCAACTCTCACAGGCACCAGTAGAGGTTCCTCTTCGGTTTTGAGCTGCACCACCTCCAGCACCAGGGACATCCACGGAGAGCAGTGAGGGCTATAGTGGCAGGCATTAACTGCTTTCCTCTAACAGCTCCACCACAGCATCATTGCCTTTCTCTTCCCTGCACATCAGCAGATGCAGAACACACTGCAGAGCTGCACATACCTGTAAACACAAAGCCCTTTCAACTCAGTACTTCCAGGACTGGATTCACTGTCACTAATAGCTAAATGCCTCCCCTTGAGCCTGTTGGGAAGATAACCTGACTTATGTTCATATTCCAACAGTCCACCTACCAAAACACACATATGACTTAAAGACGTACAGCACATAGAACTTACCTCAGAGTGGAGCTTGGAAAATAAACCACTATTTCTCAGGCAGACCTAAACCAGTCTCTCTGCCAGGTTTCAGTTCCATATTATGGCAGCCAGGCCCTCACACAAACTGGCCATTCAAGAAAGGCTCCAGAAGCAGTGAGGCTGATGCTTTCCTCTCCTCCAGCTTTACACTGGATCCATATCCAAATGACATCCACAGCTCCATAAGAGCCCAACTGAAAACTGAGTTGTCAACTGCTTCCCCAGAAAGCTCACAAGTTAGAACAAATCTCTAGAGACTGGAGCTATGTGGTAGCAATCAGAGAGTGGATGAATTTCTTAGACACGCACAGAAACAGCTTCATTGAAACTCTCCCAAGCCTGGACCAAAAAGGTTTTTTTAATCAGATTTAGAGCCTCTAAATTTCAATTCATCCAGCAGAGAAGCAAAAAGACACTGACATATTAAGATAAACAGGGACAAATGCATCTCCAACAGGCAACAAGTACCATGAAATACCAAGATATTTACGGGGATCCACATCCTTTTATGCACCTATAAGCAGCAAACAGGATTTCATTCACGTATCCTCCATTTAACCTATGAAACTGCACTACTTCTTCACTATGCCAGTCTATCTTCTCTTCCTCCCCAGCTTAAATCTAGAACACTCCTTCATTCTGTACCTTAATAAATAATTCCCAAACCTCGACAGCAACTTTGCTTCAGCACCCAGCCACTCACCTCCTTTATTCAATGCAGAAAACCAGAGGCTGCTGCTCAGCAGAAGTCAGCTTCTCTTTTAGTGTTAAAGAATCAAAATAACTAACTGCACATCAAGCATTACTGTAGTTATTTAGAGAAAAAACCAACTTCACAGAACAGATCCATTCTCACCCATCTTGAGAAAAAGGAGCAAAACTTCCCATGGCATGCCAAGAGCAATCCCATTTGTATTGCATCACCTGTGTTACAAAGGTGTTAAGGATCAAAGCCACATTTTTGCTGGCTAAAAAAAGATAACAGCATCATATCAACAATGCTTTAGAGCTGCCATAAATGCTTCTATGCATGTCTCAAAACAAACCACATATTTTCTTTCTATTGTTTTATTTGCAAGAGTATTTGGAAAACCTTTTATTTCAAAAGTGAAGAGAGAGGGACTTTCCTCAGAGATCTCTAAATTCTAACACCTTTCCTTGACACCACTTGGTTTTTAATCTAAAGAAAAACATTGCAAGAAGTCTATAGATTTCCTTTTGGGCTTCAGGTTCCTTTCTCCAGCAAATCTTCTCTTTTATTGCCTCTCCACTGTTCAGTCTTACAGATTTGTGCAAGCCCTCTTCTTCTTGCACTCTAATTCCTATTCAGCTTAGTCTGAGCCACTTTTCTTACACTCTTCCCTACTTTTTGATGTAGAGAACCATGGTCAAGTAAGAACCCGACAATTCTTTAAAATGCATATTTTGTTGTCGGTGATGCTTTTAACAGCAGGGTGAAGATTCCATGTTTTAATATTCTTGGCTGCTGTATGTTGAGCGTGAAAACACTGCCAAAGGAGCAGCGCTGGAGAAGGGTGTGAGTGCCATGGAGCAGCATGTGCCCAGTTCTCTGCTGCTCCTTTTAGAAAGGCTAGGCACCTCTCCTTGCTCACATGTGTTCAGCTTGATGGATTTTCTTTCTGGAAATTTTCTCCTGGAGTGACTGAGAAGGGGCATCTTTAAGATGGTTTGGAACAGTCAGTGTTCGACAGCTCTAAAAGAAATTAATACAGTCCATCAGGAGTCAGCAAAGACTTTCATTGGCAATCAGGAATCCCATTAATAACATTTCTAAAAGTACAAGTAGAATCCCATCTTCATTACATCAGTAATCCTGGAAGGATGAGAAGCCAAAAAACTTGCATGTTTAAAATTTTAGTTATGTGTTTTCCTTCATGTTTCTCAAGAGACAAATCTGCCTGCCTTTTTCTGTGTAGCATGAGAGCCAAAGTTTTCCCATGCATTTCATTCCAACTTTGTTCTCTATCTTATACCTTCATTAGTGTATATATAACTTTTGTGGTTCTACGTGGTTGTACAATACAGTTCATTGCACTGAGCTATGCACTCTCACTTTTAAGAATGTCATATAAAAAAAGGTCACGGGTCAGTCCTAAAATAAATTTTAAAGTAAGCTGTTCATATAGACACATGCTATGCAGCTTGAATAGCAGGCATACTATGCTTTGTCAGCAAAACTTATCTTTGGTAGCAGTTCTCCTCCTTAAAACTGAGTTTCTAGAGTTACCTCTCAGCATCTGCTTCTCTTTTCTTGCTATCTATAAGCTGATGTCATTAATATATAGGTTATATGGTTGTACTAATTAATTCTGCTTTTTTTTTTTTTTAAGTAAGTTTCTGATATATGATATGGTAGAAAACATGGTGGAAAGTACCTGTGGTTAGGCTGAAAAAGAGAGGTATTTGGACTGGCTTCACTTTTGTGCAGAGCACCATGGAAAGGGCACTCAGGAAAATGCTTCAGCCTCTCAATGCCTCTGCTCTTCCTCACAGACTGAGCTCCTCTTACAGCGTTGCTCCTCATAAAACAGGAACAGTAGAATAGGCCAGTGTCTGAAGTACAGCCACTTATAGAGAGAACATAGCCAGGAGCTGGAACGCAGCAATTCCCAGTAGTTAGAAATTGTTGGAACAAGCCCTTTCGTATTAGCAGTTTGTACGCATTCAACAAAATAAGGGATTTCATGCAGACAAGTTTCAGTTTTAATTGTTAAGTTCTATGTTACCTTGAATAATAACTTATATATTATTACCTTGATAAGGTATAATTACCTTGACTACATTCACAATTATTTTGTCCTTGAACTCCTATGATATTGACTCGTACCTCTCTGTTTCACCTTGTTTCCTCGGCTCTTCTCTACTTTCACTGCCTTGCTTAAGCAATGCCTAATTTGTCAACAGAGGTCAGGGTCTGTTTGCACCTCCTGTGTGTCCATTCGTTTCACATGACAAGGATTCCTATTAACCACCTCAGTGTTCTTTAACAAGCAGCCTGTTTGTTTATGGCTTGTAGTTCTGAAATTTCACCTTTTATTTCAGCTAACTGAAATGAGAGAAATTACTCTTGCTATGCCTGTGCCACTTCTTTTTTAGAATTCATCTCACTCTTGAGGATCTCTTCATTCTGTGAGCAGAAACAGGAACTGGTTCAGTTACAAGACATTTCTCTACAGTCAAATTAAATGTGAGTTTTCTAGCACCGCCAAATAAAGTATTTACATTCTGTTAAAAACCACTTCGTAATGAGCTATGTTCATCCCATTAGTGCTTCCAGTTGCCCCTGAATTATGGTTCAAGCTAATGTATTGATTTTTTCTTTTGTTTAAAGCACTGCACAAAAACAGGATGTCTTACAAGAACTGGCAGTGAAACCTGTGATCATTAAAAATCCAGTACTACATTTTGCAACATTTTTGATGAATCACTGGATAAATATTTGGCAACAGCATGAATTCTGCAAGCTTGAATTGACTTTTCTCACCCTATTTTCTTGTCCCTTGATGCTTTGATCTTGTGTAAAAGGAAGAATGGACAATAAAAACTCTTACACAGATATTCTAGTTTCACAGAACATGCCTTTTTAATTTTGACAGTTTTTAATAAGGTTTCTGATTTCTTGAAGAACTGTAAAAAGAGAAACTGTGATTTTTCCAGAGAATGAAATAATGAATAAAAACAAAAGAAAGATATCCAAAAGAGTTATAAAAGAGATTTTGGGATATTCCAGTTAAAGTTCACAAAAAGAAGTATCTCAATATGTATGTTATGAAATGGATATAGGCTTTATAAAGAATAGCTATAATTGTACACTGAAAACAAAGGCTTTTTATTCCATCATAAAACTACACTTAAATAAAAATATCTATAATGAATGCAGAAAGATTTGCTGAGGGTGGGGGAGCAAAAATGTGAAATATAATAAACACATGTTAAATAAGATAAACCCAGAAATTAATTTTGAAGTTAGAAAAATGAAAAGACAGCTGAAACTGTTCATCTAAAAGTTTCTAATTTTCTTAACAAAATAGTTTGACCTCCAAGTTGTCTATGGGTCCTGATTTTTAATACCTGTCCTTGCAAAAGAATCTTTAGAGAGAGGAATCAGACACACACAGTGATTAATGTTTTTTAAAATGGGAGCATTTTTTCTTGGCATCTACATATAACTAAAAACATTGTAAAAGCACTATAGATACTATCACAAAATGAACAGCATGAGGATAACTCTTGATATCTAGCAACCGATGTTCATGTGTCCTGGCAGGTAAGAATCCATGGATTTCTTAGCTGCAACCTTCTGTCAAGCAATCCAGCAGGGCCAGTGATTTTCCCCAATGCACATCCAAGATGAAGCTCCTGTGATGTGAACCATTTTCTTTGGGTCTCAATGTACAACACCTAAAGTTACAAAAAAAGAGCAAATGATCATTTGTAGCAGGGAGTAACTCAACCTTATAAACTGCATTAATCTTAATGAGACATGAGGCAGGGATTGGAGGGGTCAGTAGTAGACAGAAGCAACTTCTATTTGCATTGAGAGGAAAAAACAGTATTCATCAATACACAGAGGTCTATGACATGAACAGCAACACTTGCTTCTGGTCAATATTGATTGACTAACTTTCAGATAGGCAAAGTAGGAACATGGGAAAAATCTTTTCCTTGGGACCACCAACCAAAATTAAATCCTTTAGTGGAGGAGTCATGAAATGAGAATTTAATAAATAAAAGGCAAAATGTTCTTTCTTTGGTTTAAAAAGCTGTAAATTTTATCTTTCTTGTCTGCTGTTCTCAGTTACCAACACTCCTTGTTCTTTTGTAGGCAGAATATATAATCTAAGAGAAATGAGAACCAAGGCGGGGAAAAAAAGGCACTTAAAGATAGTGGCTTTTTATCAGTGACAAAATATTTGTCTCCCCTTTCTTGAGAAGTTTAGAAGAGTGCTGCTTTTTATCCTTTCAATAAATATTTTTTCTCTCTCTATTCAGACTATCAAAAATAATAAGAAGAATATAATACAACTTTAAATGAAAGTTTATATATCACATGCTTTATGACAGCTGCTTTTATTTCACTTTAGATTAACAAAGCCTTTATGTTGAGACTTTGGAGCTGACCTTACAAAGAAGCAGTACCATTAGCCCTGAAGCACATGTTTCCCATTTAATGTTTCTGAGGTAACATTCTTCGTGAAAGTGAGAGAAATGAGAACGCAAACTTGAAGGAAAAAGAAAAGTCTGACTGTCCTCCTTTTGAACAGAATTAAAGTCAGTTTGGACACTTGAAAATATGAAGTGGGAGGCCGTGGCCTTACGAAGAGTTTCTCAATGTGGTCCCAAGATTTACAATGCTCAGCTTTCCTTTAGTATGCCATAGCTCTTTGTCATTTCCTCTCAAGAGGCTGAACATATTTTGCCATCTCAATTTGAAGTGAAAGGTGTCGCTTACATCGATGTTATTTCAGTTTTAACCAACACTACTCAAATGATTTATAAGCACATCCGACCAAGAGAGCACTATAATAGTCAAAGCAAACAAACCCAACAAAGTTATTTGGGGGTACAGCAGAAAGAAATTGGATCTGCCATATCTGAAAGTTACTGTTAGGCATGGAAATCAAACTAATTTTAATGACATTTTACCATTGCCACGTTCCACTGGTTCAGTGCAAGAGCAATGCATTTTTTTCCATCAATAAAACTTAACAGTGCCTACCCACAAGTCTTCCATCCTTTTGTTCGATGCCTTTGTACATTAAAGTTTGTTCTTCAGCTACTGCCACAGTCAAAATTTTATGCTTCTAACCCTTCTTAAACTCTTTTCAGTCAGTGAATGTGAAAAACTGCAGACTAGAGTCTATAAGGTTCAAAGCAAACTCAAGAGAATCTGAAAAATGCAGGAAAGAGGTGGACAATGGCACAGTTTGGAAATCAGTGCATGCTCTTTGTATTTGGGGTCTTGCCAAAGAAAATAAAAACCTGTATGCACAAGAAAAGGAGAAAAGCTGTGTGACTTGGAGGAGAAGCTGACAAATTCAGCACTAAAATTGTCATCTATGCCAGTGGAAGCTGGACCAGAGTTCCTCTAAAATATGGCCTTACACTCCAAGCAAGACTCGCCTTCTAAATACACTTCTGCAAAGGCTTCCAACAGGAATGCTGCAGGATTTGCTGGAGGTGCATCCAGGCTCCAAGAGACTGCCCCTGCACAGGTAACTGGGACCAGTTAAGAACAGAGACGTGTGATTTTATTTTCTTTTTCTATTCACTTTTTTATTTTTTAAGAAAAAAACAAAAACATTTGTTTCTTAAATCCATGTTTAAGCGCTTAAATTCAAAGTTCTAATTGAAAACTGCTACTTTTCTCTCTTCTTATGGACACAAATGAGGCTGAGCACTTCTGAAAATTAGAGATGTTATTTAAAAACAATGAAGTAGACTGCTTGGAGCATCCCTGTAACGCTCTTGTCCTAAGCCTCAGGGATTTCAGCTGCGCCCTAGGACCAATATTCTTTTCAGAAAGCCCACTGTGATCTGTGCCTTAGGAAAATACCTTTTCCTGATCTTGCTGTGGATATGAATTTACATTCCTGATATCAGATGCAGACTGACACACAGGTTTTCTAAGGCTTTCAAAAGGAGGTTATTTTAACTTACTCTAAGCAAAGATGTACAGTCTTGCTTTTTGCTTCACCAAGTCCATTCCCTCATATGTACCTAAGGTTAGACTCCTCCAACCAATAAACCAACCAGTGTTCAAGAAGTTCTTTCTGCTCTACTTTTTGGTGCCTTTCCTCACCAGTGGAACACTTTGTCCTGCACTTTGACTGTGTGCCAAATGCCTGAACTCTTCCCCCTCAGTCTGGGCAACCATCCCTGTTTGTTTGTTTGGGTTTTTGTTTTATGCTGCGTAAACCCAGTATTGGGGGAAAAGAAATAAGAGAAGTATGCTCACATGATATTTTTGCCATCAGGTATCTGGTGTTCCTTGCCAATATTCCATGTAAGAAACTACCCTCTGCCTGTACACTCCTCCAGTTTCCTCTGATATATTTAACTTCTGACTCTGAACTGTTGGTTTCCTGTGTTACACTGATGACATAGCTGCAGTTAAGGGACCCCTATGGCTAAATTTGTATTTCAGTAAGCTTAGATATGTTCAGATACAAGAAATCTGAAAGGTGAAACACTAGAAATTAAAATCACTCCTGTGCAAGTCCAGACTTAAGTACCTAATATGTCTTACTGAAATGACAGTCTGAATTACCACATTATCCTTGTACTAAGGTCCAAATAGGCTATTTTCACCACATTACAGTCCAAATTAGAATTTACTTTTGTCTATGATTAAATATGAACTCTGGGGAAATCTTTTTTTTTTTTTCCCTTTTTGCTCTCTCTAATAGCTGGTCTTGATATCATTAAATGGCATAGAACAAGCCAATATTTAGATTTCTGTTCAATTTTCTGTGTTTGGTCATTTTGACTTCACTCTCTTTGATGTCTAGAAAATAACTTTTCTTCATGCTCTTTGTATTGAAGGGGGGGAAAAATCTGCAATTCTTTTGGTGTGCTAAGAATAGGCATGGATATGTTGGGACAGGAAATACATACATGCCACTACAATTAAAATAGACTAATTTGTTAGCAATTCCATAATATCCCCCAAATGCAGAAACTCTAAACAGTGTGTAGTCATCTGGGTAACTCCTCTTCTCTTTTCTGCTGCCAGGCTCCACAAGCTGAGTCTTCCATAGCAGTGAATATCACGGGGAGAGACAGCATGACAAATTTTGTAGACTAATATTGAACACTGCAGCACCAGCCAGTGTGATATAGTGC